GTGTTGCGAACTTTTGGCTACTTTGGGTGTCACTATTTGACGCTGACTCAGCTGACTGTATATACCTGCCTGATAAAAAAAAAATACGTAACGGACTTTTAATTTTTAATTGCTCTAAAATAGTAACATATCACAACTATTATGATTAAATTAACAAAATCGTAGACATTATAGACTACATATTTTTTTCGTATTAACGTCAGCGACTTACGAGTAAGCTCGTTTACGGATCTCCTCATTTCTGATTCTATTTCGCAAAGAAACACCGAGCATAACCCTCTCCACAGCACGCTGTGCCACTTTGAGCTTATTTATAAGGCCTACAGTTAGGCCTTTGTTCAGCAGTGGACTACCTATGTAAAGATGATGATGAAAATATTTTACGTCCACCAGATCATGACATGGGTTTCTGCATCAGCCCGGGGACAGTGGACAGAAATCTTCAGATCGACTGGAGCCTGGCTTTACGAGACGGGGCTAGCCCGACAACTGCTATCCTCCATCCAAACCCACCCTCCCCCCTGCAGGGCGGCTATGCTAGCTGAAAGAGTGACCTTCTGGGACGTTGCCCCACTGTTGGGACTCACTACACTTGGGGCTATTGCGTCTATTGGGTTGTTGGGGCTGGAAATCGTGTTGCATAGGTGGACAGAGAAGAATAGAAGGGAAAAGAAGTGGGGCAGTAGTGAAGCGTCTTTGGTAGCTCTTGAATAATATGCAGTTCAGATGTTCACAAAGGTACGTAAGTTACTTTCACAGTAGCAGTAGCAGCACACATACGTACACAAAACGTAAAATAGTAAAAATTGATTTTAATAGTTTTTAGAAATATACATAAGTACGTAGGTTATATAGCCCTATTGTCAGTACCTAGGTAAGTAAGTAAGTGTTGTGTAATCATAATTAATCAGTTGCAATATTCTGTGTTGTTATTATTATTAGTTCATAGAGTTTGAAGTTATTTTTAGAATTAGCTGAGTATCTATCTAATTTACTCGTAATGGCTGGGGACAGTGGACCGAGATCTTCAGATCGACTGGAGCCTGGCTTTACGAGACGGGGCTAGCCCGACAACTGCTATCCTCCATCCAAACCCACCCTCCCCCCTGCAGAGCGGCGATGCTAGCTGAAAGAGTAACCTTCTGGGACGTTGCCCCACTGTTAGGGCTCACAACAATGATATTGTTCTATAATATCATTGGCTCACAACAATTGGGGCTATTGCGTCTATTGGGTTGCTGGGACTGGAAATCGTGTTGCATAGGTGGACAGAGAAGAAAAGAAGTGGGGCAGTGGTGAAGCGTCTTTGGTAGCTCTTGAATAATGTTTCAGATGTTCACTAAGTTACATGGAAATTATTTGCACAGAAGCAGTATTTTACAAAATGTATACCTAATTTACCTAATAGGTTTTAGATTATAGTTTATGTAGCACTATTTTCAGTAACTAGTTATGTGAGTAAAGAATGTTGTGTAATCATAATTAAACAGTTGCAATATTCTGTGTTGTTATTATTAATAGTTCATAGAGTTTGATGTTATTTTTAGAATTTTTAGAATAATTTATTAATTACATCGCAAATCCTATCCTTAATAGTCACGGATTCTTCTTGCTTTGTAAAATAGGTCTAGTTTCATTCATTCTTGCTTTGTCATTATTTGAAGCATTTTATAACTTCATTCAAGAAACACTAAGTTAAATTACTATTTACATGTAAGTACCTACTATCTTCCTATTAGCAAAGGTAGAGTGTAAACTCATAATAACGAATCAATCTTACTATTTAGCAATTATTTCTCCGAACATCTATCTCCCTTATCAATCAAATCGCTTTCAGTAACTTTAACGTGCTTTTTACTAATTTCCAACCGATATCTCCTCAGTTTATCTCTTAACTCATAGAACTGCCTTTATCTGAACTGATTCTTATCCGATTTGTTTACAATCGTCATCTGAGTCTAATCTTTATTTCTGAATGTTTAAATATCACAGTTTAGTTCAAATCTACTCAATGTAAAGAAAGAGGCAGATGGACCAACGTTAATAATAAAAATAAATTAGAAAATGCTGCCGACGTGGATAAAATTAAGTGCCTTCTTGATAGGTGTAAGTTATGCAACGGCCACCAGTTGCCATCAGATGCAGCAATCGCAGGTACGTTATTTTTATTGTAAATATCATAGTTTTAAANGCTGTTTTAAATAACTTGATGACGTCGGTCCACCATGTGGGTGGACGTCACACGCTGCGTTTCCCGGTACGCGGCCTCCATTCCAGAACCTTACTGCCCTATCGGCCGTCAGTTCTGCGTAACTACTATGTGCCCTGCCCATTGCCACTTCAGTTTGCTAATTCGTCGGGCTATGTCAGCGAAGGAAAGCCTATGTTCAGCAGTGGACGTCCTATCGCTGAAATGATGATGATGATGACGATGATGATGAAATAACTTGAAACAAATATAGTTTGTGTTAGCATAGCCCCGGACTAAGGCTTCCCATGTAGAGACAATATTAGAGTCAAGAAGTTACTCAACAGGTTCCCAATTAATGTAGTTCCTACCGTTATTTCTATATCCATCTGTGGTGACAGGGTTTGTTCTTCTCAGCACTTGCCAATTGTTCTCAAAGTGCTGGTACGCCATTATGAGAGCTCATAATCCTATATGGGCATATAAGGGCTCCTTAAGCTTCATTTATTTATTTATTTAAAATAGGTACACAAACAGATCACTGTCAATTACATAGCCATGAAATTAACAAAATATTAAATAACTAAACAGAGATCCAAAATCAGCGTACACAACATGCTTAGTATTATATAAAGCTACTTATATTAAGACAAATGTACATAAAAATAGGGTAAACATACAGCAAACCTTTCCAAAGATGCACAGAAACTTTCTAAATTATGATACTTATTGATAGACTATGAGCATACTATGAGGTAGCCAATTTATTAACGTTGTATTGAATATTGATGACACTTCTTATTTATTGCATCATTTGAAATGACCTTGAAACCAATGCCAATGTCACTGTTTCATAATTATTAGTCCGGTTTTGACAAAGTTGACTAATTTACGTGAATTTTCGTTGCTGTGATTGTGTTTTACATAAATATTACTACGTTTTGCAGATGGCATCTCTACATGAGCGTATGAACCAGATGATCAGTGCCCTGTATACATCACGTAAGTGTGTAAACTATACTTAATTGACTATAAATAGTATAAAGTCTATATTGCGTAACACGTAAACTACATTCCTGAGCTACGCAGGTTCTTTTGTCACGTTTATGTTTGCAATAATTGTGATAATTTTTAGACGCTGCTCATAGTTATCATGAGAATACTAAAACAATAATATTTATGGAATTTAGGATGACACCTTTGATTAAGTAACGATTTTTTAATTCTTTAGTGAGTTTTGCTTTACTAGAAAACATATTACTTTTAATAGCTGTGTGAATAGCCAAAATGCTAATCACATTAATTCTTTTTTATTTCTCCAGCTTTCCTGACTAAGACTTCGTCGCAAAGCACCAACACGACGCCTCCATCATACGCAAGTGCCGCCTCCACTCCGGACTACACTTCAAACACTGCCACCTCCTTCGAGAGCGCGTACAGCTACCCTGTGACGTACCCTCCAGCCCCATACCCGCCAACCTCGCCCCAAGTCATATACGTCTCACCACCATACGCCCAGAACCCCACAACTGTCGCCATATCCCCACCATCCCCAGGAAACCCCTCTGTGACAATATCTTCCACTACAGTCCAAAATCCACCGTACTACTCTTCAGATCCTAACGATTACGCGTACGGAGTCTCAAATCCGGTTCCAAGGTCTGCTTACCCATATTACGACTATGCATACCCACCACCTCCTTATAGTGCTACTCCTGCTGCATATCCAACGAGCTCATACAGCCCTGGTGCTCCCAGCTCGCCGCCACCTCAATATTCGTCTAGCTCATCCAGTCCAAGCCCTTCACCCCAGCCTTATCCCCCTAGCTCCTACAGCCCTAGTACTCCGCCTCAACCATACCCCCCTAGTTCTTACAATTCCAACGCCCCACCCCCACCTCAGTCATACCCTCCAAGTTCTTACAGTTCAAACACCCCACCCCAGCCTTACTCCCCGAGCTCTTGCAGCTCTAATCCTCCACCCCAGCCATGCCCCAGCTCTTACAATCCAAATCCCCAACCCTCATACGACTCGTACCCTCCACCGCCTTACCCTGGCAATTCCTACAGTCCCAGTAGCCCTCCGCCACCGTACACCCCTAGCCCGTACCCTCAAAACCCCCCGCCTTATCCACCACCTCCTTACAACCCTAACAATCAGGAGTCTTGCTCCTGCAGTCACTCTGAGTATCCACCGCCTCCCTGCCCCCATAGGCCTCCATACTCACCACCTCCTGCCCCTGTCTGCCCCACCTCTCCCGTCCCGTACAACCCTCCCCCATATCAGCCGAACCCTAACTCTCCCTATCCCATACCTAATGCCATGATACCTTCCTACCCCCTGCCGTATGAATCATCATCTTATTATTCTCAGTAAAATACAAAGAACTGTCTCGTAATCTCTTTGAATAAGAGAATCTCTGATGAGCATCTCAAATAGGCCATTATTTAAACTGTCTAGAAAAAATATTGTGTATTTTTGTTAGATCAGTTTTTATTTTATTTATTTGTAAATTATTTAATTGGTATTTTGTCTTATTTAATTGTATTTTGTATTTAGTATTATGTTATGAACGTAATAAAACAACATTGTTAATGATAATGTGATTTTTTTGCTTGCTTCTGTAACTTCATGACACAATTATTTATAACTTCGCAGTTTCAAAACTTTCATTACACAAACCTTTATCAAATTATGTCAAAGAGCATCGTGAAATTTTTTCGAAACACGAATTTCATAAGGAATCGATAAAGTACAAAAACATGTATAAAAGCAATACATGTAACAATTTGATAGTACTTCGTATCCACCATGGCACCCCTATTTTTTATTCTGGCGTTAATAGTTCAGGTAAATATTTTAATTTTAATATTAATTGTAATTATTCAAACATTTTTCCTTCATTTTTAAAATTATTATGAGTCCTTTATTAAGCCAAAAACTTTATAGATTATTATGTATGTAAATAACTGTATCTTCATTTAAGACAAAGTCTTAAAACTGAATTCTTTTTTTCAGTCCTCATTCATATACGCAACAGATGACATTGACAAAGAAGAATGGGAAGACACCAGTCGAGAAATTCTCAAATCTGCTCCCGGGGATATGAAAATAAAAGAATTTAGAGCTACAGACACCGACTGGATTGATATCTTCTCACTCCCGAAGCAAAATCTTCACCAAACTTCTTCAGCGGCTAAAATGGCCTCGGTAACCAATTCAGACAAACCACCAGCAGAACAACTGGAAGATATCAAAGAAATGGCCAACCAAATAACACTAGCTATCCAAAGCGAGATGGCCAACCTTTTGTCCTACGCATTGAGAGATTGCGAGAAGGAATACGATGAAAACAGCCTGAGGAAGAAAAGATCACTTGAATCCCCAATGGACAGCTCCCAACTTGTCATGAGATTGCTGAAACACATCAAGAACAATAACGAATATCAGAACATTGCAATCGAAAAGATGATGTCCGCTCAAGAAATCGCTGATAAATTCGGAATCGAGTTCAACCCCGACCCTGAAATCCTGTCAGACCTCGCTGTAGCTACTAACAAACAAGCTGAAGAACTCACCACTATACTGAAAGACGCTTACGACTCAAAGAACGAGACGAAAGAAATCGAATTCATTCCAGTAAACAACGAAACTTCAGTCAAATCCACAGAAAACAACACATACTTCGTGTACTCCGTACCAGAAGCAGAAATAATCGCGCATCAAAATTCTTTGCCAAGCTATGAATACGTGCCAGAGTTCATCCAAGAAAGACCACCAGTGCATGTCCATTACGAACAGCATCCTCACTACAACTATCACAGCCACCCTTATGAGACCCAGATAGTGTCGCCTCCTCACCAAATGCATCAGCAAAGACCTCCAGTAAGCCACATGCCTAACTTCTACGAGCAATTTACTCCAGCTCCTGAGTACTACTCTCCTTACTACCCAATGGAGCCTGTCACTACCACGACCACAATTGTCTTTCCTATTGAGGAGCTGGTTGAGCCAGAACCAGAATTAGTAGGCGAGGAGTTCGAAGAGACAGTATCGTCTAAGGTGATCGTAGAGCGTGGTGATGAGCCAGGATCGGCTACAGTGAACCACGTCATGACTTACACAGTGGGAGAAAAGTCGCATTTCAAGAAACCACAGATTGAGAACTTACCCCAGCAAATGCAGTACTATTTCTTTTTAATGTAAACTTGGAATAATAACACAATGTATAAAAGAAAAAACTTCTCGATTGCTGAATATTCGAACGGATTTTGACATTAAATTATTTAATACTTCGTCAGATATTAAAAGAAAATTAAAAATAAGAAAAAATCTTCCAATATTCATGAAGAAATGCTTCTTTCGTCCAATTTGTGTTAATGAGGATTAATGTTATTTTGTAAATAAAGAAATCTATAGACTTAAATGAATTTTAATTTAATGTAATAAATACATACTCTTACCACTAAATCTTTACATTTAACTTAAAAAACACCTTTGGTTACAACATTTTGACGGTAGAAATTTCAAAAATGTTATGAAAATCTTAAATTCCTACCGTAGATTTGGTTTCAAATGACTGGTTTACACTCAAAATTTTCATTTTTCAGTAAACAATAATTTTAGTCAGAGATTTATAAGTATTTATTCTACCTTTACTAATTTTCATAATAATTGGCACCAAAAGAACTTAAATCTAATACTTATTTTTATATTTGGTAACATTAAAATATCTGTTTAAACTAGAGCTAAGTAAACAGTATCACTTATAAAAGGCACTGTTTCCATCTTTTTTTGGTTTTAAAACTTAAGCTATACCTTACTAATTTACAAATAACTTATAAATATATTAAACTCTATTTCACCTTAAGTACAGTGCTTGTTCTTGCCTTCGATAATAAGTAATATCTGTATTTCCGTGCTTTAACACGAATCAAAGATTAATTTAATAAAGCCTGTCACCAGCATAACTTCTGAATTAGGCTTACTTATCTTCAAGAAACAAATAATTTTAATACTAAATTAGGATCCATCATTACCTACTCGTATGACAACGTTTTAAGATTCGGGTAATTCTCGTTGCGGTCGTCGTATTTAACACTGTTAAAATGTTGATTCAAAAAATATTTTTCTAACCTAAAAGTGTAGATGTGATCCTGAAGAACTGTTATTACTTAAACCATTTTTTTAAAATAGAATAGAATTTATTTATTGCTTTTTCTGTGTACAGTTTAAGTTTTAATTGTCATAACCCAGAAAATATTCCCCCGGCAAACCTATTTGACTCTAGAAAATCTATTTAGTTTACTTACTACGTGTCCTTTCCTTTTTTAATGACTTCCTACATTTGGTATGTTTTCTTTGGCACCCCAAATCCTGTACTATCCTAATAATAATTGTTCTTCCCATCTTTTATCATAAATACTTATTTTTACATTCTCTACAATATACATTCACATCCATCTGTTGTCTTTCCTCTCATTCAAAACTATCACATAGCGACCCCACGCGTGGGCTACCTGTGGGCATAGTACGCGCTGTAAGCACTATTGTGGCCGGCATGAGGTTGGTACCTGTAACATTAACAAAAGATTTTTAATATGATATCCCATTTCGAAACCCTTTAGATTCCAAAAATCAGAAATGTTTTTTTTTAAGTTGTAAAAAAGTAGAAAATATTAATTTACAATAAAATATTTTCACAACTAACGCAAACTAAAGTTGCTAAGTAGAAAATATTCATTTACATTAAAATATTTTCACAACTAACTCAAATTAAAGTTGCTAAGTAGAAAATATTCATTTACATTAAAATATTTTCACAACTAACGCAAACTCAACTCTTGGATTGGAATTGGAATTATGCTGAATTTGACTTTTTTTGCTTGACTACATTACGCTTTTTGGATCACTTTGTTTTTTGAGACAAACTTCAAAAGTGTAGTTAGGACATTGCAAGCCTCGGAAACTATTTCTACCTCTCGTTCTTACTAAGTTTAAGCAGAGCAATCTAAACCGCACTTATGCCCGTTTTCACCATCATTCCCTAATTTTTAAGTAACCCCTTTGAAAACAAACTTCCTGGTATGTGTCACTGTGTGTGTATAGGGGTCACTTAAAAATGAGGGATTGATGGTGAAAACGGGCATTAGACTCTTGATTGGGACATTGTTGTACGTGATTATGGTTCCTACTATTGCAACTTCTGTGCAATCAGAATCTACAGCTTGATCGCAAATAAAACCCTATCAGTGAAAGTTTGACGGACGGTTGAAAAAGGTGGACCAACTACCCCATAAAGGTACCAGGAAGGCGCTGGATGCAGGCCGCTACCAACCGGTCACTATGGAAATCTTTGGGGGAGGCCTATGTTCAGCAGTGGACGTCCTATGGCTGAAATTATGAGTGAAAGTTTATACCAGAGTCAAACATCATTAGAGATCGGCCTCTCCAGTACATAGAGGAGATTAAAAGCTCGCTTGAATAAGCAGTTTTTATCACCATCATCATCATCATGTCATTTAGTCTCATCTGCAGCATGACCCTCTAATTTACCAGTAGCAAATGAAGGATTTGGCCTACACTCCATTGTAACCATGCTGATAATGTACATTTTGACACTAACAGCCGGTCCCTAAGGACATTTTGACACATGCACATTCAAAATCATAATCAAAAATCAAAATTCTCTTTATTTGTTTAGACTAATTAAATTAGTTCTTGCAAATCGTCAAATGCTCTTAAGGAGCCTACACATGTCTCATTCTTTTTTTGCCCTACCAGCGCTTCGAGACAAACATTTGGCAAGTGCTGAGAAGAAGCGCCGCAACAAACTCAGTCACCACTGTCTGCCGGTTTAAAAATATAAAAAAGTAGGAAGTTACATACATTCAGAAGCAAGTTACTTACCACGCGCTCGCGTTGATAGAAGGTGGCCTTTAAGACGCCCATCTAGCACGAGACCGCGTGGCAGTTTTGAATATATTTCTTTAGTGCCGTGCTAATTTCTAGGTTAAATGTTGCGTTTTGATACATATATTTTATGTCAGGTATATCTTTCCTTGACCAGTCCCCGAAGGCAGCGCCTGTTCACAGACATGACGTGTTGAGCGATATTTCGCATTGACTACCCACTCTCAGAATGGCTAGCCAGACGGGTTGAGGAGGCAGCAGTTTTTATAAATAGATCTTTTTACTTACCGTACTGGATGAGCATGGGTAGCGTACAAAGGTCCGCACGCGCTGGGTTCCGCAGCATACGGCTGACTTAGTTGAGGGCAGGGCTCCGGGGCTGACGGCTCACGGCGTCTAGGAGTGCCTCGCTGTTGAGTCTGGTCGGGAGGGCTGGAAGGAGAATGGTGCATTTGAGACTGAGGTGACGATGATGAGAGTATAAACCGATGAAAAGATGTTTTTTATGGGTAAAAAGGCAGGCCGACCACAATCGCACCTGGTGCTAAATGGGATGCAGACTAGGATGGTACATAATATCTGCCCTGTAAATGCGTACTGGGAGACTAGAAGAATAAAGTTATGTTTGAAACTTACTACCATGATGGGGGGCGAAAACCGATAAAAGACTACAAGTAGGAGCTTCTTAGTTCCTAGAACGCAAAATGATGCTATAACAGGACTATTTCCATCTCTCTCATCGCTGATACTTCTGGGTAGTAAGGATTTACAGCTTGACCGCCAACAAAAACCTATCCAGTGACGGTCAAGTTTGCCCAGTTTCCCGATAACCGCTACAAAGCTAAGTTAAATATATCATGCTCATGCTAGGAATGGGTTCACCATAAAACATGGGGTTACAAATTCAACAGTGACAACATTATTAGGGCTTTTTTCGCTTCAATTTCAACACTGCCTACTCCTTAATTCCGAATATAAACATTTTTTTTAAATAACATCCGTGTTATTTAATTTTTAGCGTTAAGAGTCGCATCTCAAACTAATTGAGGTTCAATTCCCGCCTTAGGCAGTTCGATTTTTTCAAGTTATTTATAATTTTCAAACATCCGTGTTTTTCTACGATCCATAATTTAGTTTTTGCTACCAATAAGTGAACCTGTAAAAATATAAATTAATCAATCAACCGATTCCCCGAAAATCAGAACAAAAACTGATGAATGGGAGTTCAGTTTCTTATAATGACTAAAAGCCAAGCTAGATAAGTCTTACAAAAATAAACACGGCCATTTATTACGTCGCCGAAGACAGCGAAAAAACTGATCGCCACATGTACAAACATTGGAGCGGGACAAAAAAGGATGGCGGAACGGGACAAAAAACTTGAATTATAAACTCGAATGTCTTCCTGGTGAGATCGATTAATATCTGGGACTGTCGTGCGATAGCCATTTGTCGTGGGCTGTCAAAATAGAGGATTAACACGGAGGCCGTAATACGACCCCGCCTACTGGGCGGGCTGCAAGGATCATGGTCATATTTCAAGAGAGCTAATTAACTGTCATTGCTATCTTATGATAACTTTTTTAAAATCATAAACTTAGTTTATCTTAGCACATAATTTGTTTCTAGTCCTAGGCTAGATGACTATGATAGATGACTACAAGAATTGATAACCTCCTCCTTTTTTTGGAAGTCGGTTAAAAACAAAACAAAAATTAATGTAAGCAAAAAATAAGACCAACTCCTTAATCAGTGCATTAAAAAGTAAAAGAAATAGGTTTTTTTTTATTAACTCAAATAATACTAAGTAAGTACATTTTTAAAGTTTTTTCAACTTTAAAAACTTGAAACTTGAATCGGTTAAATACTTGAAAGAATCTGAAGGTTATTTTGAGTGTCTTTCGGCTACGGCATAGCAATCAATATAGCATTAATTTTATTTTTTTCCAAATACACAGCAAAGAAGAATACACATTCCAACTCAGTGATTGGTCAGCTACAAACTTGTACAGCCTGCTGAATTAATTTCCCTCGAGTAGCCAATGCAGCGGCCAGAACGGCAGTAACGCGCGGTGGTAAACAATCTTTGTTTATGGTAGCGTTGTTTATATGTCGCANATACATTGAATGGTTATGGTACTTATGGCTACATTGTTTTAGTTGTAAAAGTTTAATGGGTACTTAAAATAGCTTGTGTAAGAGCCTGAGAAAGGGTTTTTGAAACTCTTGTAGAAACTTAATTAGGTAGGCTTCCGAAGACTTACATTTTAAGTGTGTGACAGGTCTAAAGGGCTCCCAAATCCATATACGACTAAAGCGCAAAATTGTAACATGCATTGTCTATCAGTCAACTATTGATAAAATAGAAAAGTTTTAGATAGTACTTTTTAGACCATAAAGGCAGGTATTTAAGTTTTAACTCCAATTCCATCTAATAATACCTAAGTAGCTATATTGTACAACTTAGAGTTCCTAGATAACGAGTAGATAAAAGACCCAAACTTTATTTCTAAATTAATGTAACTTACTGAAGTTACAATAACTATTATATCATTTGGAGATCTACAACGTAACACCTACAACCTACAACTAATGTACAATGTAACAACCAAAATTAGATCATTGCATTACATAAACCAACCCGTATACATTTTTACGAGCAGCGTTCCACACGCCAACACAAACACCCATTTTATGCACCAATAGCGAGCTGAAGCGTACCAGAAGCACTATTATTCAGCTACAAAGTCTACTGATTGGTTGCTAATGTTTATGTAAAGTTTAGACAAAACTATGTAGTGTAGACTTAGCTAATTTTGGAGAAGATTTAGTAGTACACACACCACAGTTGGGGCACACTGAAAACCAGCGTCGTGGCCCTCACCGGGGGCCACGGCATATGCTGAGTGGGGTCCCATTGCGATGGGCATCGATGTGCGACAGGGTGGCACTGCTCAGTTTACTTTCTCTTCCATTGTATGTTTTATGTCATCTCTGTCTTATTTGCTTTTTTTTTATTTACCTCTTTTGTCTTTTGTGATGTCCATGGCAATAAATGTTTCTTTCTTTCTTTCGGTCTTTATATGCAGGTGAAACAGTTGTAATTTTAGGCATACCTACACTAGTATTTTGGAGTGCCTAGGCCTGGTGGTTTAAAAAGAAAATGTTATGTAATGTTAAAGACTATGTTATGTATAAGTGTAGTGCTAACTCAGTCAGTACTAGCGGTATTTGAGCGGCAAGGAAGGGGTGACAATCACATAATATTATGACTTGACAGAGCATACAAATCTAAAGCTTATCTGAAGTCTCGTTTGACACGTTTGCTCCCGTGTTGCTCCCATACCTCAGGCACTGAGTAAGTTAGGTGCTAGATCTGTAGATTTAGTTTTAACGTTCTTATTATGCTCAATATACACTCGACGTCAAATAAATCGCACCTCCCGCGACAAGCATTTTCAAACGTATGCATCCCCACTTCCCACCAATATTGGCACAATTTGAAAGCCTAGTTCTAAACTTCATTTCATTAAAGGAAAGGGGTTTACCCCAAAAATGTGTCTTTAGAAGGATCCAGAGTCACTTCTTCAAAAAATAGGTAGTTACGCTTGAGCCAACTTTTATGGCTATAAAACTGTTAAGTTGGGATGAATCGCTACCCATCTGTTAAAGAGGACACGTGTGATCATTATTTGGTTTTATAACCATAAAATTTGGTGTAATTGATCCCAGAGGTGAGCACAAAGTGAGGTCTTTTTTCAAGTCACTTTTATGGTATATGTTAATCATTTATTAAGAAATTAAATGTGTTTTTCTTTAAGGATATTGATTGGGCTTTCAAATAACACCAATATTGTTGGGGCACCATGATTGTGTCAGAAGAAAATCTTTAAAGTTCGCGTCGCGGAAGGTGCGGTTTATTTGATGTTGAGTATATTTTAATCAAACGACTCCCTGTAGCTAGAGCGCTCATAGTTAATGTCACCACGGCGACCACCCTGTGGCTATCGCTCATAAACTATCAATCCATCCACCACTTTTACCCCAACCACATAAAACTCTTTTATGTTTAAATAAACGAAGCCACATTTCTGTAACATCCTCCATGTCACAACAATAATGAATCAACGCACTACAAAACAAAATGTCCCAACTAAAACTGTTCACAACGCAAGGACATAGAGTTTCAACAGCCGGTGACAATTTACTTTTACGACGCAGCCATAGAGTAAAGAGTTACGGGGACAGTTATGGCGGACATGCCTCGTTTCCCGCTCCCGCTAAAAAGAAAAAATGGCGGCGCTCAAACTTTGAAATTGATGGTTCGTAAAATAATTTTAGTTTCCTTATAATTGAATGATCAAACGAACTTACCAAGTGAAGTTCGATCTAAATTATCCTGTTTTCGCCGAAGAGATTTAAGCTTTATATTCCACATTTTTACAGTTTGATTCAATTAATCTATATCTCTTGTTTGTGGCCCCACTTGGGTAAAAGCCTCCTCCATCTTTTTCCACCTTTCCCTGTCGCTGGCTATGTGCATCCAATTTTTCCCTGCCTTGTTTGTTATGTCATCGGCCCATCTTTTCTTCGGCCGTCCTACGTTTCTTTTGCCTTTTGGGCCTTGCCATTTTGTTGTTTGATAGGTCCACCTCTTATCTTTATATCTTGCCAAATGACCTGCCCAGTTCCACTTCTGCTTTAGGCTAAATTTAAGAGCATCTGATAATTTAGTTTTCATACGGATGTCTGTGTTTCTAGTCTTTTGTATTCTTCTTAGTTTTAAGATACTTCTCTCCATTGCGTGTTGACAAGAGGAGATTTTGTTTTTTACTCTTTCCGTAAAGACCCATGTCTGGCTAGCATAAGTTAGGCTCGTTCCTCTTATACAAGGCAGAAACAAGGGTATCAATCAGGTCATTTAGCCAACTGCAGGACCACAATCTGTTCTAATTTACCAGAAACAAATGAAGGATTTAGCCTATACTCCCCACTATAGCCATAATTATGGCTTGAGGAGATGAAGGGATTTTTTATTTAAAGACCGTTATATCACTCACNAATCTCGGAGGCGAAAGCAGGATAATTGTGTTCATCTGTCCGTTTAATTACTATGTAGGTGTCTTCAAAGTTTATTTTAATAACATTTTAAATCGAGGTACTTACATTTCGAAATAAGACAAAATGATATTGAGTAGGTAACATATTTAGTTAGATTAGTCAAGAAAAAAAGATGGACTTACCAGTCATCGGGGTCGCAGTCTCTGAACCCTTTTGCAAACGGATTGCTCGCTATTTTTAGTTGCGTTATCTGTAAAAGATAAGTTTAGTTTCATTTTACGTGGAACGAAAATGTGAATATTCAACTTATACATTAGAAATTGTACTGAAATTATCAACGTTGAACACGTAGTACGTACACACTTAAACATAAGATATCAGGTACCTTCTGAATTCGTATTATAGAGAACACTATCAGGCTTAGTTATTTAATTTTTAGCGTTAAGAGTCGCATCTCAAACTATCAGGCTATAACTATCAGACTTACCGGAAAACTGTAAGTTTTTTAAATACAATATTCACAAGGCCCACACTATACCCACAAGGTGGACTGACGACCTCATAGAAATTTCAGGAGAAGTTGGATGCAGGTGGCTACCGGCAAATCTGGAAATTATTGGAGAAAGGTGGACTGACGACCTTATAGAAATTTCAGGAGAAGTTGGATGCAGGTGGCTACCGGCAAATCTGGAAATTATTAGAGAAAGTCTGCGTTCAGCAGTAGACGTCCTGTGGATAAAATGATGATGATGAATGACAAGTCACTCACCCTATGGTTCTGATAAGCGGTGACGGCCGTGAAGCCGGTCTCTGGGAAGACGAAGGTCCTAAAGGGCACCCCGGGTACCTCTACTAGATACTCTCTTTCACATAGCTAGATATAGATACTTATCTGGTGCCTATCATCTGGCTTCAGCCTAGCGACCGCTATCAAGCTCACACAACACAAAAATGAAACTGCTTTAAAAACAATATACTCAAGACACTCACCCTATGGTTCTGATAAGCGGTGACGGCCATGAAACCGGTCTCAGGGAAGACGAAGGTCCTGAAGGGCACCACCCCGGGTACCTCTACTAGATACTCTCTTAAACATAACTATCTTGCCTTGATACCTTCTGGTTTACACATACGCTTATCTGGAACCTATCATCTGGCTTCAGCCTAGCGACCGCTATCAAGTTCACACAACACAAAAATGAAACTGTTTTAAAAACAATATTCACAAGGCACTCACCCTATGGTTCTGATAAGCGGTGACGGCCGTGAAGCCGGTCTCTGGGAAGACGAAGGTCCTGAAGGGGATCACGCCGGGCACCTCTACTAGATACTCTCTTAAACATAACTATCTTGCCTTGATACCTTCTGGTTTACACATACGCTTATCTGGTACCTGTCATCTGGCTTCAGCATAGCGATCGCTAATAGCTCACAGCACAGAACTGAAACTGTTTTAAAAACAATATTCACAAGGCACTCACCCTATGGTTCTGATAAGCGGTGACGGCCGTGAAGCCGGTCTCTGGGAAGACGAAGGTCCTGAAGGGGACCACCCCGGGTACCTCTACTAGATACTCTCTTTGACATAGCTATCCTCCTTCTGTCTTACACATACGCTTATCTGGTACCTATCTTCTGTCATCAGCCTGCGACCGATTTCAAGCTCACAGCACAAAACTGTAAATATTCACAAGGCACTCACCCTATGGTTCTGATAAGCGGTGACGGCCGTGAAGCCGGTCTCAGGGAAGACGAAGGTCCTGAAGGGCACCACGCCCGGCGCCGCGCTCTGACCCTCCGCTGGGAGGTACACCACGTGCAGACGAGGCTGGTAGCGGTGCATGGAGTTCAGGATTATCTACGAATTTGGGAAAATGTACCGTGAATCTCTTAAATACTTTATCATTACCTGCCACAGGTGACATAACAATAAATTTGATTTAACACGAGCTGAACTTGTCGCCTAGTTATAAAAATGTCTCCTTAAAGTAGCAACTCGAAACCCATCCAAAAAGACGTTTTTTCATAAAGTTAATACGTAATTCTGGAAAACTTTTCTAATTTTGCCTCCATTTGCATGGGCCTTTGATCTCCATTTCAATTCCTAATATTTTTTGGTCAAACAGAAAACACCCAATCCCTAGATAGAAAGACCTAAAGTTGAAGCATAGTTATTTTCGAAAATAACTATGCTTCAACTTTAGGTTCAGTTGCAATTACCTACTATCTACAGTTGGATAAGCTATTGGGATCTTAATATGTCCATAATTATTGATCCACAGTTTCGTTCTAGTTCAACTGGTGCACCTACAAATCATCTATCATCAGTTCGTTCGTTCGTTCGTTCGTTTCAGCCGAAAGACGTCCACTGCTGGACAAAGGCCTCCCCCAAGGATTTCCACAAAGACCGGTCCTGCGCCGCTTGCATCCAGGTACCTCCCGCGACCTTCACCAGATCGTCGGTCCACCTAGTGGGAGGCCTGCCCACGCTACGTCTTCCAGCTCGTGGTCGCCACTCAAGAACTTCATCATCAGTTCATCATCTATAAACTGTCGTCCAGCTGGTTGTTGGTGAGCTTCAGCTTGTCGAAAGAGACGAGCTGCCTCATCCAGTGTACGCGGCGGGGACACGGGGTCTGCTTTAGCCGCTCCTACCCTGTCAGTTGTCAGTAACTCACGTGTCCATTATCGTCCAGCTGGTTGTTGGTGAGCTTCAGCTTGTCGAAAGAGACAAGCTTCCTCATCCAGTTTACGCGGCGGAAACACGGGGTCTGCTTTACCCGCTACTACCCTGTCAGTTGTCAGTAACTCACGTGTCCATTATCGTCCAGCTGGTTGTTGGTGAGCTTCAGCTTGTCGAAAGAGACAAGCTTCCTCATCCAGTTTACGCGGCGGAAACACGGGGTCTGCTTTACCCGCTACTACCCTGTCAGTAGTCAGTAACTCACGTGTCCATTATCGTCCAGCTGGTTGTTGGTGAGCTTGAGCTTGTCGAAGGAGACGAGCTGCCTCATCCAGTGGGCGCCGGGCGCAGGCGAGTCCGGGTGCACGTGGATCCGTGGCGGGGACACTGGGTCCGCTTTACCCGCTACTACCCAGCTTGAGCTGGACAAACAATGTATGTTAGACTTCTTTGATATGAGTTTAAATATTGAGATGCTTATCAGAAGCCTGCCAAACTAGGATGCGCGCCATGACAAAATCTAATCGTCAATTTTAGACGACAAATGTATGACTTTAAAATCGATAAAAATGTGTCGTAGCGCTTGGTACTATTACTTATTCTGTGGTAGCGCGCGTCCTAAGCCTACGGGTAAAATAATGACGTATATTGATGCTTTTCCATAAAATACAATGGTTATTGACATCAGAAATTTAAAACTTTCAGTACATGGACTCAAACGATATTTTAATTTAGTTATATGCACTTGTGTGACCATGACTAAAGCAAATGTAAGAATGGCATCAAGGAATGGTAATATCAAAAGTAGCATTAGATAAAGCAAAATAAAGTTATTCTCGAAAATGCTAACACTCACCTGTGAAAAGCGTATCGATACCGCTTATCGTCCAGCGGCACAAAATCGACTAGCAGCAAGTAATCCGCATTCGGCAGTAGCCCTCCCAATCTAGCTTGCAGCGCTGGGAACATCCTTCTCCCAGCCTTGGTGACGATCATTTCAGTTCCGAGCTCGTGGAAGCTACGCCAGAGCGCTGCTAGCTCCAAGGTCGCGGTGCATCTTGCAACTGCAGAGTGCAGCGTGACGTTCTGCGAGGACACCTGCAGAGAAAACTGCTGATGAGGCTTAGAGTGACTGCCTTCGACAAGTAGATAGTGCTCAAATTAGTACACCGGGTAAAGAAGGTTAAGGTTAAGATAAAATCAAACAACAAAGTACGGACTAAAAGTTGATCAAACCAAGGACAGTGTTGGACGTTTAAAAAGACAATCAAGATGAGATCAAGGTCATCTCAGAAAACTACTAACTACTGAATCTCAGAATAACTAGTGAGCATCAATGATAAAATCCCTACATCACAACGCCAGCGACCAAAATATTATGTGAAAAGAAATCAAAAGACTGCGATGGGCGCTTGTGAGTTGAGAAACAGACCAAAAGACAATAAAGCATCATCAAATTCCGGCCTTGGTGACGATCATTTCGGTTCCCAGCTTGTGGAAGCTGCGCCACAAAATAATTGATCAATCCAAAAGTACAAAAAGCATGAAATACTTTACATTACATTACATTAACAAGAGACGAATAAAAGGTAGAATATGAACAGTTCAAACCTGGACCCTGGGAGGCTGCGGCGGGGGCGCCGGCTGCGCGCCGTGGTCCCGGCACGTGCTCTGACTGAGGGCTTGTAGCGGCGAGTACGTACTACGCGCGCATAAGGTCCCCTGGGAAGGTAGAATATGAATAGTTCCAACCTGGACCCTGGGAGGCTGGGGCGGGGGCGCCGGCTGCGCGCCGTGGTCCCGGCACGTGCTCTGACTGAGGGCTTGTAGCGGCGAGTACGTGCTACGCGCGCATAAGGTCCCCTGGGAAGGTGGAATATGAACAGTTCCAACCTGGACCCTGGGAGGCTGCGGCGGGGGCGCCGGGCACGTGCTCTGACTGAGAGCTTGTAGCGGCGAGTACGTGCTACGCGCGCATAAGGTCCCCTGGGGAGGTAGAATATGAACAGTTCCAACCTGGACCCTGGGAGGCTGCGGCGGGGGCGCCGGCTGCGCGCCGTGGTCCCGGCACGTGCTCTCGCTGAGCGCTTGTAGCGGCGAGTACGTGCTGCGCGCGCATAGGGTCCCCTGGAAATATACCTGCTGCTATGATACAATGTATACTCCCGTAGACAATTCCCATTTTCCCGTTCGTGATAATTTCCCAATCGCTCTTGCAGACAACATTAAACGAATTCATTTGTAATTCTAATGAAAATGCAGTAAGTGACAAATAAATAACATAAGCATAATTTCCTTGAAAAAAATTGTAATTGCTTCTTTGTATAAGGGTTAAAAAATGAAACAGAACTATTCCCACCACCACCTTACAGCTTGACTGCCAATAAAAACCCAACTAACGAAGGTCAAGTTTGTCCCGGAGAAAAGTAAACTGTCATTGGACACGCATCAAAATTAATCAGGAAAAAATAGGACGAGTTCTAAGTTCAGGTTCGACTTCCCTCCAATGTAAAGCGGACAAACCGAAAGTAATGGACACTTAAAAATGTAGGTCTGTAGAGCTTTAAAAAATAGGCAACACGATACTAAAAACTTTTCTGGTCACAAGCCGTAATGTTCAAAATTAGTAGTGGTGACTGTTTACTATTCCTTTCCACCCCTTCTTTATACCTATGTCGAAAAATGGCTGGCGTAAGCTTACTCAGCCTGTATTGAGTTGTAAAATAATTGGGGATACTTGTTTAATTTAACTTTTATTTTACTTTTTTGTAAATATTGTATTTTTTGTATATTATCATAGTTTTTAGTTTGTAAATTACCTGCACAAATCAATAACATAACATGTAATGAGGGCTATCGTTTTAGCGCTCACCAGTTAGCGCCACTGTAGAGTATGGTCCCGTCACTTGCTAGTAGGTAGCGAAGACAGTGGCACCAACTAGTGAGCGCTAAAGTGGTAGGAGGACTATCGCATTTGCACTCATCAAGATGGCGCCACTGTAGAGTAAGATCCTGTCAATCGCCAGGGGTGCCAACTGTTAAGTATAAAAACGATAACCCTCATTGTTTATTGTTCCGAATAAAGGTACAGTCACTTGCAAAAAAAAATCTACATCTCTATTATTTACAACTGTAAAGGATAAACTTACATCTCTGATAGGGTGGTGCAGAGGCGGCAGCACCGGCTGCTCGTGCTCCCTGCCTCGGCCGGTCTGCGCGAAACCCCGAGGACACTGGCTGGTTGAGACGATGCCTGTGGACAATAAAAAATTATTGAAAAAAAAGTAGTGTCTAGTCTCTCCTCTCACACACAAAATCTTTTTATCGCAATAATTGCGGCATCTGGGTACAAGTTTTACGAAACCGTCGGTGAGCCATTTTTACCCGACTGCGCCAGAAGGAGGGTTATGTTTTTTTTTATTGTTCTGTGCACAGGGCTCACCTTTTACTTTAAACAGTAAAGCAAACTCGACAAAATTGCACATTACTCAAGAATGATGATTTAAGTTTCTCGTTATAAACAATTTCGCAATGCAGCAAAATTCGACACGCGTTTTTGTAAGTACTACGTAACCATGGAAGTACTTTTGTTTGATTAAACCTAAGTTCCAATTTATAACTCAAAGAAACACGAGACTATTAAGATCTGCTTAGATTTCAGCAAGACGCGCAATAAAATTTGATTTACTGAAACTGGTTATCTGCAGAACTACAGACGTTTTCCTTTTCGCTGGTTTTCTGGTATAATAAATGGCTTTCCTACGACAAGACCGTCAAAAATTACACTTTTGCGTGAAGTGTTGCACATTGAGTTATAATGTACTACGTACTAGAGAAGACATGTCAACTAGACTGTTTCTGGCACGTAAATAGGTCCACGGACCGAAATTCAATTAGTATGTGCTCAGCGGTTGCTGTGATAACACGCTTGAGTGCTGTTTTGTTTTTTGAAATATGCCATCCTATAGACGAAAATACTGTTCAAATAACTCCAGATACATATTAAGTAAAAATCAAGGAATGACTTTTTACCATTAAGTTGTACATTTATGCACTTTAAAACACTAATTTAATTTTAATTTGTTAATTACAAGGCGTCACCGCGGCGGCAGCCATTTTACGAAAATTTCAAAGAATAAAAATCGCAGACTTGACACTGACGCATAAATTAGTATACGAAAGGAAGGTTAAATACAGCAATAAAAAGATTTTTTTAAAGATTATAAGCACTTTGTATTGCACAAATTACTAATAGTCCCGTCCAGCCCCTTGTGTTAAGCTAAATAAGCTTGGGTTACGGGTGGGCTCACACAATAGTCGTGCGGCATCATGGATCAAACTTGTTTGAATCTCACTGCTGTTGTTCGTATGCGACTGGTTAGTTAGTAAATCACCCTAATTATTGACACCTAGCTCACGAGATAGGCTAAAATTATAATAATTGTACAGTGTGTCTGGTCACCAGTGTCCGACCCGTTAGGGCGCAGTAATATGATCAATTTAATCGACAAATCCAGTATTAAAAAATTACAGCTATTTTAATTTTTTTAGTTTCTGAGTCCGGATGGATTCATTTATTTACCAAATCTACCGATGTACAGGACCTATGAGTATAAAAGTGATTCGTTCGACAGCTGAAAAAGTAAGCAATACGTTGTCATCAAAAGCTTCCATTTAAATTTCTTAGAAACACTTGGTAAAAAAAATGATGCTTCTTTTTAGATTTTTCAATGTTACAAAAAACTAGAAAGTTTTACATTTTTAGATGCACTAAGTCATTACCTAAAAACTGATATACCTTGGCTTTAAATCAACTAGTCTAGGTGCTAGCTACACAGGAGATGCAGCGGTGAAAAGGAGAGGTGGGAATAGTCCCGTAACTTCTACCTCACAGCTATTATACGTGTACTCAACCACTGAGATAGTTAACAATAGAGACAATAAAATAACTGAAAGTTTCTGACTTTCAGTTATTTTATTGGTTCTGGAGTGAAGGCGTGGGTCATCCCTAGCTTTGTTCCTACCGTGACGAGTGGGAATTTTTCTAAAATCTCAAGATGGACTGACTGAAGATAGCAGGAAGACGCTGGGTGCAGGCCACTATCAACTGGGCGATGTGGAAATCATTAGAGGAGGCCTTTGTTCAGCAGTGGACGTCCAGTAGCTAAAATGATGATGACGATGTTTCCTTACAGTATCCAATTCAATAGGCAGAAACTAAACGTAAACGAAGTGTCGCCTCTGTAATGGTATCATTATCTATAACTCATAATATTTCGTGCGCTGTTGGATGACAGTTTTAAACTAGAGATGGGTAATTTTTTTATCGAATTAGAAAATACCAGTTAACGATTCTCAAGGCGATTATCGATTACATTAGATTTTAATCGGGAAGAAAAATAATTAATGGCTTAAGCATCAGTATGAAGCCCATACGCACTTGTAGCACAAGTAACACGATTAGCCTCAGTCCCCTCAGTTGTGAATTCGGAATCGCCAGTTGTAATTTTAAAATCGCATCACAGAGTGAAGTAACTAACACCAAAAAACGGCAGAGCGAAGTGATTTCGAATGTTTCAACTGCTACGTTTTGTCACTTGTCTAGGAGGGCTAATTTTAGTCTAAGGGAGGGGAGCTTAGATTACATTACAGGAAACGCACAATATAATAAAAGAAAATAATAATAATAATAATAAATGCTCTTTATTGTACACCACATAAAAAGAAACAGAAAGAAAATAATAAGAGAATAATGTAAGTAGCTGAACCTTTTTGCTATTGAGCACCATGAAAATTTAACACAATTTAGCCGATTTGTTTATTTTCACAATCGTTTCACAATGTCTATGATGAGGCGACCCCAGGAACGTCACTATTCGTGCAATCCTATCAATGAAGTACGACATTTTCTGGTGCAGATTTTATCGCCATAAATTATGAAACTTGATAGTCATAGATTTGACTGACAGCTGTCCGTCAAATTCCCGCCCCGCACCCCGCACTGTACATATTTTGTTCGCGATGTCTGTTCTATACGTAGTAATATTACTTCAATGGTGTTGCATACCATTGCACGCTAAACACTAAATCGAAAACGCACTGATTGTAAATTCTGTCAATTTATGATAAACTAGAAACTAGTTGTAAACTAACTTAGTAGTTAACTACCTAACCATATTAATAGAGTCACTGAATAAGCATTAGTGTTGAAAATAAATATGCAAAGGCAGGTATACCGTATTATTCACCATCACGTTGCGTTGTTATTCTGTTAATGTCGACAAAACACTTTTAACAATACACACTAACTTCTTCTCTCACGATTCGCAAACTTAACAAACACTGAAGTTACAATAATCTATATTCCTGAAAATATCATCAACAGCACATTTTCACAAACATTTGAATAATCACTGTCAATCAAAAACTTTCGAGTTTACATTAATCTCGATTAAAAAAATGTACTAGAAAAAAAAACGCGGTTTTCAAAAACTAAAACTTTTTTTAGCACAACCACAGACAATAAAACATGTTTGACTTCCCGCGCGTTTTAAAAACAAATAGTTCTTTTTTCATTGGTCATAAACCCGTGCGTCCACGGGCGGACATCTCACTCAACTAATTGCTATAATGGCGGGAACTCACGACCGGAATGGTCGCAATAATTTTCATCGGTTGATGTCAGCTGCATTATAAATAAGACGGGCGATGAAAACTAAACGCGTAGAGGCGACAATGATCGCCGTTTATTTTGAACTCGTTTATTTTTGTTTCTAACCGGTTTGAAGTCGGGAAAAGTTAAGCGCGACGGAGTGAATTACCATTTGCAAAGACCATGTTAGTATTCTTTTTTCCATGCATCCCTTCGTCAGTTCCATGGTAGTTAACTGACGAAAGGATCTGTGGAAAAAACATGCGAAGCAAAGCCTCTAGAAAATCCTAGCATACAAATAAAAATACAGATTTTTTTTTATTTAATCAAATAATCAAAAGTCTTGATTCTAAATGGTCAATATTTTATTTAACAAAATAACAGGTAATTAAAGGCGCTTAAGTAAATATTGCTGTGCTACGAAAAGCCAAATTAAAGCAATTCACTGCTTTCCAGCAAATACAAAATTACTTTCTCAAAACTGTATGTGTAAAATAAAATAATATTTTGTAATGAATTTGTATTTTGTAGTCATAAAAATAAAAATGTTTATCTGAACCTTAAATTCGTGATATTTCTCTTTGGTTCACATTAAAGGTGCCCGGTGCATGTAGTAGGAAGCGATAAATTTTTTCGCGAGCTGTTGAGTTAGAGTTAATTGTCAGTTTATGAGTTATTTCTGGTGATAATTTGTGTGAGCATATCAAGATATTTTTATGATCAGAAGGTATTATTTTGGACAACAGTGAAGAGTTAAATTAAACTTATAGTATAACTCTAGGAATTCCCGGCCCAGTGGGTGCTTAAAAGGGCACCGGGTGCTTAAACAGGAGTTGCAGTGGTGGGAACTAGGGTGGTGGGAGATAGGCTAGGCCTTTACACTCGACAAAGATCCTGTCACCAGGAAAAACTTCTTTCTACATTTTAAGGAAGATATTACTTCATGCAAAACGCATCGTGGGACGTCCACCTACAAGGTGGACCGACGACATCGTAAAGGTAGCAGGGAAGCGCTGGACGTAGGCCGCTACCAATCGATACCAACGATCAACATGGAAAGCATTGGGGGAGGCCTATGTTCAGCAGTGGACGTCCCATGGCTGAAATGATGATGATGATGAATGATTACTTCATGTGACGATAAATAACTTGAAAATATCGAAATTTCTAAGGCGGGAATCGAACCCACGACCTTTCGCTTGCCGGGCGACTGCTCTTCCATCTGAGCTACTTAGACACTGGATGAACCCGTCGAAATTTTCAAGTGTAATACGCTGTTGCGGCCAGCGAATCTCATGCTCATAGTATAACTAGTTAGTTGTTGCAATTCACTAACCTCTGTGGTTTGATGGATGAAAAACAAATAAGAGAACGAGAAAAAAAAGATTGCTAAAATCTTTGGATAGAAGATCAAATTATGGGAATCGGGCGTAAATCGAGTGAGCTTTACATGTGTGGTGGCTCGCTACTGTTCGTTTTTCAAAAGTTTTGATAGACATTACACTATCGTTATGTGCACGTACACGTACACACACAAACAAAGCTCCCTCGTCTTCGTGAGTTGCAAGAACTATACACGATTCTCAGGATCCTAGAATACA